TTGTAAATATTTTTTAGGGGGCCAGATGGACTCATGTCTTGTTAGGGAGACCACTTCATAGTCGGCGTAGAGGCCTGACCACCGCACTGTATTTCTGAAGCTGATGTTGAATAATAATGTATGTCAACTATAATTATATATACATATAGTCACGTGATGTGGAGTAGAGAGTGGGAATGGAGTCAATGGAATTGTAATTGATAAGCATGATATTGGGTGTGGGAGGGCAGTAGATGGGGGAGGAGGGTTGTTTCTGTGTGAAGGGTAAAAAGGATAACTATTGCATTGTTCTGTACACCTGAAACTAACAATAAAATAAATAAATAAATAATAAAAGTTTAACCCACCAAAAAAAAAAAATGCTAAGCAGAGACCATCGTCAGAAATAGCTCCAGCTGAGAACTAAGGTGACCACCACACAGCTACTCCCCCAAAGGCCCGAAGACGTAGTGAGTCGTTTTGTGTGTGTTTTTTTAATTAGAAAGAGTGGATAACTCCACATTGGAAGAAAACAGAAAAAGATGGGAAGTCAGCCAATTAAAAAAAGCAAACATAGCTCTCTGCTCCCCAAGCTGATAAATATAACGCGCGAACACGTGTGTGTGCACACTTGCGTGTACACACACACACACACACACACACACACACACACACACTAATACAAATCATTTTTACATAAATGCTGATGGCAGCTAACAATACTAGTTTCCACCTACTTTGTGGTAGGTTAGATGCCAGGTCCCAGAAGGCCTTTGTCTGATTTTGTATTAAAATACGCTGTTTTTCTCAGTCTTAACAGCTATCACAATGTAAGAAGGGCATTATGGCAAGAGTGCTCTGGAATTCACTCCATGGTTACAGCAGACATCTTTTGACATACCTCCCCACCTACACCCTTCTTCTCTGAAATCTGTACCCCACTCACAAGGCCGGGTCCCCTCAGCTGTGCTTGCTCATCTTGGCCACTTATTCCTGACCTAGGTCACTGAACCCACACTAGACACGTGACTCCACTGGGCTGGACTGCAAGTTGCGGGTCTCAGTCTGGAAGGTGGCTTAAATGGGGGTCATGCAAAGGTGGGCCCTTTGAGGAGACTGTGTTGAGCCACATGGGCAGACAGGAAAGAAGGCAGGAGAGAAAAGAGGGAAGGTGGAGGCAAGAAGCAGAGACGGCTTGGCTCTCCAGGCTGCCTCGCATCCATGCCCAGACTCTGTAAAATGCCCCTTTTATCCTTGTAATAAATTCCTCTTCTGCCTATTACAGCTACTTTGAAATGCATTTCTGTTACATGCTAACAACAACAACAACAAAAAAAAAACCCTGACTAAATTAACTATAAAGCCTCATTACCAACTGCCAAGCATTTCTGGGGAGTTTTTTAATCAATTTGTTTAAGTCAACTTTTTTCTCTTTATGAATATGCTGTTTCTAAACATGTACATTACAATTTAATGTAAATATGTATGTGTTTTGCTGTGGCAACTGGTTTCAAAACCAGAAACAAGGCAACCACCAGAATTTGAGATGAACAAAAAGAAAGCCCTCTAGAAAAACATGCCCTCACATCACCTTTTTGACAGTAACCATTTGCAGCAGGAGGAACCTGGGAGAAGTAATTAGTTTGGCAAGACCTGACTCAGCCGTGGAGGCTGTGGACACTAGCTGCCCCCAGCCCTGCTAGAGTGGGCCAGACGCGGCGACATTATCTGGAGAACCCAAATATCTGGCTCAAAGGATGCACACCATCAAGAATGGAAAGTTCTTGGACGCTGTCTGGAACAGGAGTGTAAATCAGTCGCATGCATTTATAAAGACGTCAATAGAGAAACCGAGTCACTCCCACATGGCCACAGCGTTAGGAGAAGAGAATAAGGGACCAGGTACAGACCTCGGGCTGGATGGCTTTAAACACAGGAATGTCCATTAACGTGATCTGGCTCTGCAACAGAAGAGAATGAGTGTTAGAAGACACGAAGAGAACTGTTAGAGTAATAACACAGTCTTAAGAGTTACACTTTGCTCCTTGAGTAAAACTCAAGATTGGACAGGGTGAAAAAATAGTCAAATTTCTAAAATGCCTCTCCCTCCCTTCCCTCTTCATAAATCTTGATCCACGCCCTTCTTGAATGTGAGACGAACGTTCAGTTTAAGAATTGGTGATAGCATTTTGGAGGGTGAGACTGAGAGGAAAGGAACATTTTCCAATTTGGATATTTTTGTACAATGTAAGCTTTTTTTTGTTTGTTTCAAGCATGAATTACTTTTGTAATTTTAAAAAGTTGATAATATTAAAAATTAGAATGCTAAACAGAGACACTATTACTCTACACTTAGTTTCTTTAAAAAATTGTAGCTGATAGAAATTGTACATTTCTTCTGAAGTCTGAGCCTCCTCTAAATCACACAGTAGAGTGGTATTCAAGATGCGTGCTCAGATGACTGCAAACTGTTTATCCCACTAGCCCACAATGAGATAACTGCGGAATCTGAGAGCAAGAGTTTAGAAACTTGTGCAGCAAACTGCCACGCCATTTTTACTGTGCGTTTTAAAAGTATCAGTCCTCTAGGGCCAGCTGAGTGGCGCATTGGTTAAGAGCTGGCTTGGGACACCAGAGGGCCCTGGTTCAGATCCCACATATGAGGGCCAGTGACACTGCCCTCTACAGCTAAGATGCTGAACAACAAACAGCTCAA